CTGCTTTCACTGTCTGTCACAGAAACAACCACATTTTACAAGGATGGCAAGTTCACAAGAATCATGTCTATCAACTGATAACTGGCAAAAATTCTTGATATTACACATAACACAAAGATATCTTTTGTTTACCTTCAGGATATAACTAATAATAATGATTTAGAAAAGATACGAGCTACAGCTGGTATTTGTCCACAACATAATATATTATATGATGATCTATCCTGTCGAGAACATCTTCAGGTTTTCGCTGGTATTAAAGGTGTGCAACCTAATCTCGTAAAAAGTGAGGTAAGCGAAAATTTCAATGTATTATTTTATTCTTATTGTGAATTTTATTTGTGATTTTAAAATGATTATAAGATTTATGGATAGCAAGCAAGCTCACTGAACAGTTTGGAAAGGAAATGGTGAAAATATTCCAATATTACATAGACTCCTGACATGTACCTGACTTTAAAGAGCTCCTCTTCCTCATCTGTCAATAGAATAGATCTGGATCATCAACACTGCAAGAAACGCCTGCCTGATGACCGTTTTTTTTTTGTTTATTAATGATGATATTGTTAATTGTTGAAACACGGTGTACCATCAAATTGTACTCTGTGATCTCTACGCCTATGATATTTTGAATTTCTCATATTTATGATAATTATGTTAATATGTAGATTGAGAGATCGTTAAAAGAAGTAGGATTGACGGATCAGGCTGAAGTCTACTCGAAAGATTTAAGTGGGGGACAGAAACGGAAATTATCAGTAGCCATTGCTCTTATTGGTGATCCCAAGGTAGGTGAACACAATCTAATCAAAGATAAATTTCGATTTTGTTTCTTTTTTCTGCTATTTTTTCAGCTCCATTGTAATCTTACAAGTTTTTAACACTGTCTCATTTCTTATGATATAATTTTCAACCAATCAGAGCATAACATGTATGACTCGTTTCTTGATAACGACACAGGATTGTGGGATAGCAAAACCTAAAGACGCTGTCATATTGCTTTACTAAGGTCTTTGCTATCCGACAATTTGTCATAATCAAGAAATGGATCCTTCAATGTCAAATTTAAATTAGAGTGAAATATTTGTTATTTATTTTTAGATTATTATACTAGATGAACCGACGGCTGGAATGGATCCCTACTCTAGAAGACAACTCTGGTCCTTGTTAAAGAACAGTAAAGAAGGAAAGGTTATCTTGTTGACCACACATTTCATGGATGAAGCTGACATTTTGGCTGGTAAAAATCTTTCAATCTTCAAAAATATCAAAATAAGATTATTAGTAATATGAACTTTTCCTGAGAGAGTTGATGATGATTGTCTTCTGCTATGATCTTTCTGTATAGCTGAATTTAACAACCAAGTATCTCGAGTATCATGTCTACCAGCTGGTTGTTGGCCAAACCTGCAGGCATTGATAAACTGTAGATAGAGCAGGCCATGTATTCTCAAAATGATCTTAGCGCTAGGACATCCTAGAATCAATTTTAGATGATAAGAACCTAGGACATCCTAGAGCTAATATCGTTACGTGGCCTGGAGTATAAAAAAAATAGATTAATAGATCCCTTTACAAAAGGAAACATTATTCTAAAACTGATGCAAACACTAAAGAAATTACGCAATGAATTTGACTAAAAACTTTGTATTTTAAACAGATAGAAAAGCTATAATCAGTAAAGGACAGTTGAGATGTTGTGGGTCCTCTCTATTTTTGAAGAGTAAATTTGGTATCGGATATCATCTCAAGTAAGTAAATTTTCTCAATAAGTATTGTTCTGTCCTTCCCTATGCAACAGAATATGCGATTTGGTTTGTGTTTGGTCGTCTGGTTCAATGAAAAATCACAGAGAAACTTATCCCTGGAAATGTTTGAGGCCACGTTCATGAAATATTACCTTAAAGGGACATTCCCCTTTTTTCAACCGACAGAAAAAACGGAATGTCCCTTTAAGATGAACAAGCTAATTGAATCGTAATAGATCAAAAATGATTTTTAATTTGGTTTTAGATGGCTTCATACTACATAACAAACATAAATGGATTGATTTAACAGACAATAGCACATATAATATCATCAGATATACTTTGTATTGATTTTGTTTTAATTTCAGTATGGTAGTAGAACCCGAGGTGTGTAAAGTTAATGAAATAACTGAGATATTAAAACAAAATGTTGACGGTGTAGAATTACAGAGATCACATGGTAAAGAATTGTCCTATACTGTACCAATGACTGAGATTGATAAATTTTCAGGTAAGCAAGCATTTTATCAAGATCGCCACAAAATTTCTAAAATATAATCCCTTCCAGGCTTTTAAAAAGAAGTGATAGGAACTCTGAGATAGCAAGAGGTAAGCCATAACACTTTCTATATTACTGTCAAAATGTATAATAGTTTAAATGTAATTGCAGTCATTCAAATTATCAAGTTTTGACAGTTAGATTATAGCCAAATCATCATCTCTACTCATGTTATATGCAACAAGAACACAAGGGGTACATTGTCCCTCCTTATCCCTCTGTAGCCACGGCCCATTAGAATGTGCTATTTGTAGATCCCTCCGATCAATAGAGGGGCTAGCCTAGTGTCTTATGAATCCCTGGACAAAATTGAGCAACCATGAAAACTTATTATTTCACAGCATTTTTAAAAATTATTTCCCTACAGGTATGTTTAATGCCCTGGAAACGTCGAACGGTACAGGTAAAACTACGGCTGATAAACTAGGAATACGAAGTTATGGTGTTTCTATGACTTCTTTGGAGGAAGTTTTCTTAAAATTAGGTAACTATAGAAATCTGCAATCCGCTCAATATGTAGATCTGGATAATTAGTCTTCTTCATGATTGGACAACAATAGTTTGCGATATCAGCATCCGCTGGAAGCAAACGTTAACTTGTCATCTACCAACCATTGGACAACATTCTTCTTTAATTTAGTTGTCAATTTTGACACAAAATGGTCAAAAGTGGTCACAAGTAATGTAAACCAATCAAAAAAGGCGGTGGAAGCAGCTGCCTTCTCCAATTTGAATTATGCCTTTTGAACCTTATAATTCTCAACTTCAGTGACCAATAACCCCTGCCTCCTCCATAACTAATTTACAGCCCCAATTTTGTGTTTTTCAACCCCCTAAGTTTTTTTGTTTTAAAGGCAGTATTGAAGAAAGTGATGTAAAAGACGTAAAAAAGAAGAATTTGGCAGCCTTGGCTGAAACCTCAGTTGTTATTTCTACTGACGCTGAAGACTTGACGTCTAAATCACCATTAAATCTGAATAAAGGAAAAGATTTACGTTCTCAGAGAATGAAGGCTTTATTATGGGTAAGATTTGATCTCAGCATTGTTTTGAGCCAATAAAATGATAAATCTTTTTACATCTCTGTACTGTATTGTACAAACAAAAATGCACAATGCCATACAGTGTTTGATGGGGGAATATAGTGAAAAAGTTTCATTGAACCACTCATTGTCGTATAAACTACAATTCCTTATTGATGAGTACATGGGAATGTGGTTAACTTTATCCAAATAGCTTTGTATGAGTGAATTTTATCAAGCAAAAGAATCTTTTTCATCCGTGAGGGATTGTCTTTACTCGTGTATCATTCACTCTATTCTGCACTTTCTTCTAGCACAATAAAGAAGCCTATTTAATGGCCATTTTGAAAATTATGTGACATCTAGACAATTTATTACACAATATATATTTGGGGTTTATCTGCTTGAGTGAAATACTGTAGAAATATGTATTCCATTTCATCTTGTTTATTGTAGTTGAGGTTTTTGATAGCCATAAGAAACCGAGTTGGGTTCGTGTTTCAAATGATTATACCTATAGTCTTGGTGGTCACAAGTGTTGTTTTGTACAAAGTCAACTTAAAAACTGTTTCTGATGAACCAGAATCGTTTCCAATAAAACCGGTGTACGCTCAGTCTCCATTTATGCCATCAAATAATCCGAAATTTCTGATTATAGACACTATCAGTAAGTATGATTTATAAACCAATATTTACAGAATCACTAATTGTTCTTCCATATACCAAACCATACCTGATATCATTATGACCCAAAAAACACCCAAAAATAAAACAGTAGGGACAGTGGCACCATTTATTTTAGTTTCAGAAACGGGATTTTTTAGCTAAGCCAATCAGTAAAAGTTTTCACAGCCTATCGTCGCAATTTGAACCTTCATATCAATGTGTGTTCAGAATTATCTGCGTTTAAAAGTTCGAAAGGCGAGTTGACACTGCCATCAAAATATACTTTATCACAAAAGGCCCTTCGCGATTAGTGACGTCATCAAACACTTAGTTTTAGTGGAATTGCAGAAATCACAGACATCTGATTGAAAATTGGACGTTTGTAAATCAATACTATCAGCGTCCAAGATAGACATAGCAAATTTAGAAAACCTCTTTACAATGGTGGTCGTGGACCCCTCTTCTTTTCTAGACTGAAATGTTTTTATCCGTGAAACTAAATGAACCATAATGTTGTTTTAAAAGTTATCCAGATATGCTTGAAATAATTTTGTATAAATTTTTTAAATGTTTAATTTGTCAAGTCATTGTTTATATTCTAGATTCTAGCAATACCCAAAGTTTAGTGAATAATTTTCAAACCTCAGTCTATGTTGATGAAATCAGTAATTCTTCTACCAACTTGATGTCAATAGCACCACATTGGATTGGTATCAACATTTTAGATTATGTACCATCTACTGTAAGTTTTATTATAAGGGAGAGGGGGTTTGGGGGGGTTATATTTAGGGGTAAGGAGTGGGAAATAGTAGGGGGCAGAGGGGAGTATGTTGACAAATTCAATAATTCCTTTACCAACCTGATGTCCATAGCACCACATTGGATTGGTATCAACATTTTAGATTACGTACCATCTGCTGTAAGTTTTGTAACAATGGAGAGAGGAGTGGGGTGGGGTGGGGTGGGGTGTTTTGGAGAAGGAAATGGTAGGGAGTAGGGCAGGGGTCAATTTAGATTGAAAAATTGGATAAGCACTCCCATCACAACAAATTTCAGTTTTGGTTAATCAAGTTAAATTTTGATTTGCATTTCATAAAAGTTTGTTAGCAATTCAAAATGTTCCAGTGATCTTGCCTGTTGCGGCAGTGCTGCTATGCCAGTGTGGAACTATTCCCTATATCTCTTTGAAATTTTGTATGATTGTTTTTTATTTACAGAATTTAAGTTATACATGTTTATACAACGATACAGCTCTATATTCCCTGCCTGTTATAATCAATATGATGTCTAACACCCTGCTGGGTACACCTAATGGTATACAAGTCGTTAACTTACCTTGGCCTAGATTAGATAACAAGCCGCCCTATGATGGTAATACATTTTCAACTATACTCATATTGGGCTTGGCCTTCAATATCCTACTGGCTGGTTTTGCTTCAAACGTTGTAATGGATAAACAGGTAAATATGTTTTCATTTGTGTTACTTTCTTTCATTTGAATTAAAGTGACAGATGTGCCATTTTTATACGCCCACGTTAACATATAAACCTTTTACCCTCGTAAAATTTGTCTGATAGTGAGATATTATATTGGATCTGTTCAAGATCTTAGTAAAAACTTTTACTGCACACCAATACTCAACATTTACTCTGTGTACAAGGCTGATATATTTAGACTATGTCTTATTTATTTTCAGTTTAAAACAAGAAGCCAGTTACGTGTATCTGGTATAACATTTGATATGTATTGGGGCACGACATTTTTATTTGATATTGCTGTTTTCTCTATACCAGCTATTATTTGTATTATATTTTTCCTGGCCATGCAGGTAAGCCAACTTCTGGTGTTATTTGTTTATCGTTAGGGATAGGTCAGTGGTTGATTTGGGTCTCGAATATACTTAAATTATCTTCAGAAGTACTAGATATGTTTGAAAATCGCATAATTCCTTCAAATATACCTCAAACTTATTGCACTATTTCTATAATTATACGGGTATGTCTTTTTTATATATGATATTCACAAGAAAAGATAAGTTGTTATCGATATTTTTTGTTTATTTCCAGATACCATCTCTGACGCCTGCTGGTGCTATCGTGGCATTGATACTACTATTTATATTTTTTATACCTGCTAATTTGATGCTGTCATATTGTTTTTCCTTTGCCTTTACTCAATATGAATCTTGTATTGCTGTTTTACCCACTGTCTTTATTTTGGTAAGTTACATATTTAGCTTTCTTGACTTATTGTGGCTCTTGTAAGTTGTATCACAATATGTATCGTATTGTAGCCTTGTGTCACAATATGTATTGTATTGTAGCCCTTGTATAACAATATGTATCTCTAGTTGTCCTTGTATCACAAAATGTATTATATTGTAATCTTGTATCACAATCTGTAGCTTTGTATTACAATATATATAGTATTGTAGCCCTTGTATCACAAAATGTTTTTTGTATAACACAATGTATTGTTGTTATTGTTGTTGTTATTGTTGTTGTTATTTCAGACTGGTATGTTACCGTATGTAGCAGTGTCTACAGTTGATATGGTAACACAAGGTAGTGCCGGTATTATTATACATTATATATTCTGCATTATTGATCCACCGTATGTGATATTTGGAGGTTTATATTTTATTGACAGGGTGAGTAGGTATAATCTAATTAAAATTACATTACAATTTTTGGATCTTGATAAAATAAGGAATTGTGGGATATCAAAACCTTGAATTTTCCCACCTCCACCATTTTGAATTTTTTCAACACAGAGAACGTGTTTTTAACTCTGTTCCAAATTGTTTTATTGAACGATCTGTTGATTCTTTGAATCCTGAAGTTCAGAAACTCACCAATTGATCAGTTTTTAAGGAGCAACTTTCTAGTTTCAAAGGAAATAAATCATCGTTGAATTTTGAAATTTTGGTTGTTTATCTTATTGTAGGTTACCAGACTGGCGTCGTATCGTGGCCTGGTGGATGAAATTGTTTTTGGAGATTATTTTGATGGTGATGGCCATATTATATTTCCTATTCTTGTGGTAAGTATTAAAATTATATATCTTTGTATCTGTACACTTTTGGAACTGATTTTGATGT